GCAAGGACCAAAACAGTGAAGCGAACAGGAAAAGGCGAGAAAGGAGACATGCGGATCGGATCTGTCACCTCTACCGCAGCACACGACGGACATGGACACTAATGCCACCGTGCTCCACCGGAAGACTTGCCGCCTAGCCTCCAAAAGGACGCCTGAGCCACCACAGCAGCAAACCAAGGATCCTCCACTACCGCCGTCGTAAGTCCAATGGGCACATATTTGTTTTCACTTGCAGGGGATATATCCAATATATAAGTCAACTTGTCCACATAGAGAACAAATACTACTATGAGGACTCTAAAGACATGATAACACAACCAGGTGTCTATCGCAAATGGTGAATACGGATCGATTCCTTGCTTTGGGTCCTAGGTTTGACTCCGGGTCTTATTGTTTTTTTATTTTGATTTATTAAACCCCGGCACCAACAAGTGATACGCAAGCCGTCGGGTCCCACAGGTCGGATGGAGATGGAGAAAGGTCCTACATGTACACGTGACATCTAAGTCGTCGGGTCCCAAAGGTCGGATGGAGAAGGTTCCACAAGTGACACGCAAGCCTTTGGGTCCCATAGGTCGGATGGAGATGGAGAAAGGTCCCACAGGTACACGTGACACGCAAGCCGTCGGGTCCCACATGTCGGATGGAGAAGGATCCCACAGGTACACATTGGATGGAGAAAGGACCGAGCGGAGACTTTTATGACGAAAAAGGATCGAGCGGACACTTTTATGATGAATTGCCAACGTTACGGATGAGTAATTGCAGGTCCCACATGTACACGTTGGATGGAGAAAGGACCGTGTGGAGATTTATGATGAAATATCATTCGTTACAGATCGAATATTGTTCATCACATATGTGTAACTAGTTCAATGATGAAGCCCTAATTGTCATAGTTCTAAATAAGATCGTCACAGATGAGCAGGAAACAGTCAGTGTGAGTAATCTGTGATGAAACCATATGCTGTTCTATGACTTTTTTGTGACGATATCCAATTTCGTCATAGATAAGGGGGTTTGAGGATCGTCACCGATGATCTATGACGAAACCAAAATATTCGTCATAAAAAATGATTTTTATGATGATTTTGGATTCGCCATTAAAATTTTCATCATTAAAATGAATATTTTTAGTAGTGAGATCAATAAGGAGCAACCATTTAGATTCTCTTTTTTGTTGTCGGTTTGAATCTGCTTAGCGAGCAACCTTGTTGTTGGAGCTCACGAGCGACTCTTGCATGATATGTACCAAATGGCAATGTAGAAATGTAGAAAATAGCTTTAATAGTGAAGTTTTAAAGGATCTGGAGCTGTTTTATACTAAGGAGGATGAGCCAAGATTTGTGGCTTCTTCCAAGGATCCAAAACTAAAGTTGTTTCTGGAGGAGTTAGAACCCTACTAAGCCCTTGTTTAGTTCACCCCCAAAATCCAAAAAGTTGCTACAGTACCTGTCACATCGAATGTTTGCGGCCCGTGCATGGAGCATTAAATGTAGACGAAAAGAAAAACTAATTGCACAGTTTGGTGGGAAATTGCGAGACGAACGTTTTAAGCCTAATTAGTCAATGTTTGGACACTATTTGTCAAATAAAAACGAAGGTGCTACAGTAGCCCCAAAATCCAAATTTCGCGAACTAAACCAGGCCTAAACAAACCTGAATAACGAGTGGTGACTTATACTACCGACCCAAACCTAAGTTGTCTCACGGTCGATTCGAACTTCCTTGTGCTCATCCAAGCAATCTCCTCATGGATCCAAGCCAACCATACTTTGCGCCTCCACGACTCTCGCTCGGTTCGACACTCCATGGTTTTTATGCCCTACTTTGTTCCACATGAAATGGCCACGTTTTCATGACACACTCCTACCTAGTAGCTCTACCCTACATGGCCACCAATATGGAGAAGCCCCATGGAGCAGGCACAACAATAGCAGGAAAGAAAAGCGTACTCCCTCTATCCCATAATATTTGACCTTCGAACATTCAAAATTTATCCCAAAATTAGTTGTCATTCTCACTTCACAATGCACATTTATCTTTTCCCAATATATCTCTATCTATATCTCTTTCCTTCTCGTTTTCTGTGCACTATACTTTTTTACTCTTAATTCCTATGCCGAGAGCTAAAAAGTCATCTATTATGCGGCGCAGGGAGTCTAAGGATGAACTTGTTTGCCTTTTTGTTTCGAGGGGACAAGGTTGTCTTAGATAAATAGAGCATTCCTTAGCGGATTACTGGTCTTTATAGCAAACACCACTAAGGTGCCGTCTAAATCCTGGTGGATTCTAAAAATTTGGATAAAAAATCTAGTGCATTCATTGGATTTTGTATTTATATACCAAAATTCAATAGAATCTAGTATGTTTATATGGAATTCTAGGATTCTAATATTCTTTTATCTAGATTCGTAAAATTCCTGGAAACCAAAGAGAGCCTAAAAATAAGATCGTATGTCTTCCAAATTAAGCACCACCTTTAAGGTAATGATGATACAGTGAGTAAAGATCCAATCGGTCCCGGCGGGTCCAGGTCCGGGTCAAAGAGAATCGAGTAGTACGTGTACTACGGCAGGTTGGCTGCCTGGCTGAAATGGTTGGCCGTGGCAACTTGACCCTGTTCGCTTGGCATAAGTTATGGCTGTAAGCACTGTTGATTGATTTGTTATGAAAAAAAAATATTATTTATTGATGAAAAAATACGATTAATGGTCCTGGAACCCGGCCAACCCAATCGCCTCACACTCCCCAGTCCCCACGTGACGCGAGTGACGCGACCAAATATTTACGGTTTTGATTTGATCCGCCCGGCCCGTCCTGCCATGTGCCGGTGTCATGCCATGCCGGTGATTCTCTGCTCCCCTCCCCCGCTTGATCTTATCCCAATCGCCTGGCGTGGCGCCCAGCCAGTCCCCGTGCCGTCCTCCTCCAAGAAAACCACGTCCCCCAACCTGTCTCCGTACCAGCGGCCGTTCCCTGATTCCGCCGTGCAGTCCTCGCGGAGTCCCTGAGAGCCCGTGAGCCGGTCTGCGCCTCCTTCCCGTCTGCTTCCTCCCAACCAAGACCAAGACACGGCGAACCCAACGAGATGATGCTAAGACGCCAGAAGATTTGTCCACGTGTCATGGCAAACATGGGTCCAATTGTTGAACCGAACCGTGCATCAAAGTCAAACTTATCACACCACGCTTTGAAGTAAAACACTGATTAGTATTAGCCTTCGTAAGGCCCAAGTAAGGTGGTAGGGACTGTCACCTGTGAGTGCGACCACAAAAGGCCGACCTCCAGCGTCCGTAAGCCCCAAGTAACAGGGATCCCCCTCGCCCTTTCTTTTAATTCAACACAAGACTGCAAAATGGAGAGAGGGAGAGAAACAAATTTGTTTTGATTTCATTCATTTTGGCTACCCCTTTTTTCATTAGTAACCCATTCAAGAAAAACCAAGTGGTTGAGCGCACCATTGATCTTGCTTAGTATTCTCGCTTAGGGCCTGTTTAGATTGAAGCCGCTAAAATTTAGCCAGCTAAACCAGCTGCTAAACTTTAGCCACCCATGTTTGGTTGGTGGACTAAAAGAGGCCTTTTAATCTCTTTTAGTCAGGGTGTTTGATGCAAAGTGATTAAAAGGTGAGGCAGTCTGGGCTTTAGTCTCATTTAGCAGCCTCTTGGTGACTAATTGGCTAAATGTCCATTTAATCTTAGTGTTTAGATAAAAAATGACTAAATGATACTAAAATTAGCCAGCTAAACTTTAGCAGCCTAATCTAAACACCCCTTAATGAAGCTCAAGTTCCTTCTATTTAGAAACCGTATACGGTCCCGGTGCCTGCCCAATTAGAGACATGGAACATCATGGTACCGACTAACTGGCTACTATAAAAAGTAAATACATTTATGATTGCAAACCATTTATGTTTGGGGCAACACCATTAAAACTCCACATGTAAGCAGCATGTTCGTTTGCTCAACATGTAAATTTCCATTTTTTCTCACACATTATAATTAATAATCTTTTCTTCTCTTGTTCATGCTGAAGATTGTTTGGCATTATAATTAGCCTTTTCTTCTCTGCTCTTCTCCCGTCTTGAGCTTGCAACATCAAATCAAATCAAATAAAAATAAACTGAACCAGACCAAGCATCTAGTCATCCAAAGCACACCGTGACTGATGATACACTGATACTCCGTCCAGGCCAAAATCAAAAGGCAAAGGAAGCAGCTCCTCCTATCACTTTTTCTCCACGTACTTTGATTCAATGACTATAAATTTCTTCGGTCGCGCTCCTAAAAATTTATGTCAGCATAGATTAATTTAAATATCTTCTTACAAAACCAATTACATAGATGGAGGCTAATTTTGAGTTTTTTTTAGCAATTAATCTATCTTGACATGTTTACAAAGCAGCCAAAAACCTCCAAGGGACTAATTAGGCTTAAAAAAGATTCTCCTCGCAAATTAGTCAAAATGTTAAAATTTTCAATAATTTTTCTATATATTCGCATACATAATCTTTCATGTGATAGGAATTTCAGGAGGAGGGAAAAAACATTAAATATAAATAAAAATCAAAACAAATTTTATCTTCTGCTGCTGCACGTTGCTGGGGTGGTGAGTTTATCAGCAGCATCTTGACCGGGCAAACGGCAAAAACCCCAAGAGCCTGTTTAGTTCCCCTTCAAAATATTAAAATTTTCAAATTAACGAATTTTAGAACGCGTGTGAAAATATAAATAAAAAATAAAACTAATTATACGTTTTAGGCGAAATTCAAAATTTTTAAGCAATTAAACTATGATTAAATACCCAAAATATTACGATATGGCCCAATCAATCAATCATCTCCCTTATCCCCTCCCTCCTGCTTTCTCCGTCTTTAAATAATGCCCTCCCAAAACCCGATCCCCAAAACAAGCAGCGCTCCATCCAGTTTCCATTTGCAATCCCATCCCATCTTCATCCTCTCGTCGCAGCAGCAGCAGCCAGCAGCAAAAGCGGCGATGGACGGCGGCAAGAAGAGCCGGAACCCGCACAAGGCGCCCGCGGACAACCGCAGCGACCGCAAGTCGGCCACCGGGATGAGCGGCGACCCCAAGAAGGGCGGCCGCGGCGGCAAGTTCACCTGGGAGGGCGCCGACGGCTACGCCGACGAGGACCTCGGCCTCATCTCCTCCAAGAACGCCAACAGAAACGGCGGCCGCGCAGCTGGCAAGGGAAGCGCCGCCGCCAAGAAGGAGGAGGACGACGACAACGAGTAGGCCTCGCCGACTCGGCCCGCCCGCCTGCCCGACCCCGTTGATTGCCTCATCGCCAGCAAGAATCAACAAGTCCTTTTACTAGTTTAATTTCAGTCTCAGTTCGATTCTCGTGTTGAATAATCATGATCATGTGGGGTTTAGGTGTCGTGCTCGCGAGTATGTAGCTGCTACTGCCACAGAGCGCACATCCAGTGGGCGATCCACGGGCCGTGCAGGGTCTGTAGATATCATCTCATCTGTTCTTCACTAGTAGTAATTTGCTGATGTTCGGGGGGCCTCGCCTCGATCCGGTTCTTGGATGAACTGATTTATTAGTTTCCGGAATCGATGCTTTCATTCAGTTGAGTCTCCTGCTCTCCACTGCTCTGACTCGCACTCACTTCATTAGTTCAGTCCCTGCTCTGGACTGCGAATTTGAGGACAAATGTCTCTTATATGCCTTCTGATGAGATGCAGTTACGAAGCAAAATTAGTATTTTCGCAGCTAACTCACAGATCCGTAACTGAAGCAGACAGCAAAGAAGGAATGGGAGGATTGCAATGTTTTTGTTGGTTTCTCTGTTTGTGAGGGATTCCAATGTTTATCTTTGTATAGGTGATAACGATGAGTCAGCTAGTTCCCCAGCAATCTTTCTTGATGATGGCAAGACTATTGTCTGTTGTCACCCGTGGCATGCCTACATGTTCCTAGTAACCAGTATGCAGACACAGAGACATAGCCGTAGCAGTACTGATCATGGAGCAAACGACGCATCTACTGAATTATTCTAACAGAACAGAGTCTGCTTAAACTTTGTCGCAGTTCCATGATATACCAAAGCGAAAGGGCTGGTTCCATTATACTCTGAGCAGTTAAGAGTGACCATGCCGTTCTCTGCATTTGGTCATTCACAGTTGCAGAGTCGCTCTCGCGATCGTTGTCCACCACTAGCGTAAGAAAGTCATTCATCCTCAATATATTTTTTCCTTTTTGGCATGGGAGATGGCTCTCCATTGAAATCTATCTAAAGGTGATTTGTCATCATTCAGTCTGTATCCACAATGCAGCTGGGTTGTTCTAATCATGTCGTATGGATAACCTGGAAAAGAAGATGTCCGTCTAAGGCCCGGTTTGGTATGGACTGATGACTCTGGCTATTAAGGCGTCCCAACGGCCCCTTTAAATCTATAGCTAGAAGAGGACAAACAAAGTTTTTTTTTTAAAAAGAACGCGCTACCTATACATGAATGATGGACTAAGCCCTTGTTCGCTTGCAGAATTCTGAGAAATTTAGATGGTTTGGAGGAATGCTGGAGAAATTTGTGAGAGAAAAACACTGTTTTGGATGAAAAAAAAGCGGATCAAAGCCGGGTTTAAAGACACGCGAACGGGGCCTAAAAAGGAGCAGAGCGTCCGTGAGGGCCTATTTGGATCTTTAGTCCCTCTTTAGTCTTTCAACTAAAGATTAGTCAGCTAAAGTTTAGTCTAAGATGGCTATTTAGATTCAGGTGCTAAAAGATGACAAAAAGGTGAAAGGAAGAGGAGAGAGAAAGAGAGTAAAAACACTTTTAACCCTCTTTAGCCCACCTTGAGGGGCAAATGGACTACTGGGGACTTAAAAATTAGTCCTGGCCCTGACTTTGAGCTTTTCGGGTTCTGTGGTGAGTTGAATTAGATTTTTGGTTCTCTCTCATGAATAGAATAAATTATGTGCTAACGATTTTAACCTTTGTTTGGGACGCCCTTCTGCATGAAGGAGTTGGAGTCAGAGCTCCACCAAACAAAATCTAAATTTATTTCGGATCATCAAATCAAGAACAACTAAAAGGCACCACTACAGTTTAAGATAAGTACATAGCATGGTGAAACAAAGGTTGTACTAACAGCTACTGTAGATCTAATGACTCTACTCTAAAATATTTAAGTAGGGTGGGACAATCTCTTCTATAATGGTTCATACTTACTCTTGGATATATGGTTCTTTGGGGTGTGTGTAGGGTGGGTCGAGGGGGGGCATAGAAAAGCTGTGAATGATCTTATCGATGCATAAATGTATAACTCCACATGAGGTTTAATTGTGCTTACATTCATCACTATAGGGCTTAGGTTAAACATTCCCCACGTCTTTCATTAATGGACTCATGAAGTCTACAGAGGAGTGTGGTTTTGAAAAATTCCTACCTCTATCTGAGATGTTTGGATTTGCAAAACTCCATAGACATACATAAGAGAAATATTATCCCCACACCGACTAAGACATGACTTTTACCAAAAGTTTATTCTGATCTTTTTGTTCAAATAACAATTAAGGTGAAGCAGGGTCATGAACAATAGATCTCTTTATGATAATAGATCTATTTTGCATGCTCATTATTTTAGGTAGTTCCTACAAAGAATTAAACTAATGACTTATAGAATGTTTGAATTACCGATGTAAATACTACATAGTTAGTTCACATCTTTTAGAGACTTTGAGTGTAATAGGAGCATCCATTGACCAAAGGATTACCTTGAGATGACCATCTGATGGCTGTAATCAAATCATATGGTTCTATTTCTCAACCATTATGACTTGCTCTTATGGAACCAAGGTCTAAAGAATTGAAAAGGTAAGTCATTCACAACCACTAACCAAGGATTCCTAGAAAGTTAATGATCAGTAGTTTTTTCTTGAAACCCACTTCGAGAATTCGATCTTATACATATGTGAGGGAGATTAAAAAAAGATGATTTTTCTTTCCTTTATTACTTGGGAATCATGTAAGAAGAAAGTCTCATGCACGTTTTTTCATAAGGAAAATAAAAGAGGGATCCTCTTGTTGACTCTGACTCCTCCACTCTAATGGTTGCTTTTCATTTTGTTACTTTAGAAATAGTTGCTTTTCAATTGTCTTTAATGAAGGAATGTATGAGTCAAGGGAATAACCTCTATGCACACCAACATGGAATGAACTTCCCCTTCCACATCTAAGTTTATTAGCAAATATGTAGGTTTACTACAATAGAACGTACATCCTGTTGTGACATTATCTACATGACTTGTGCCTCATATATTTATGTCACATCGTGTCATCTGTGTTCTAAACTTCTAATACGTCTTAAACTAGGCCCCATAGCATGGCTAGACGTGCACTGTTTGAAACATGGTCTCGTGTTAGACTTGGATTTTGCTAGTGAAACGATCCCGATTTCCTCGAAGGGAAATCCATAGATTCGAAATATAACATGATAGTCTCAGGTGATCATTCCATCACATTATCAAATAACAGTCGATATCACAGTCATACATCGAATACATGTCTTAAAGAGAGTACAAATAGCAAGGTTTACTCATTATTACATCGCCACTTGGTGGAATCACTCAGAGCATGCAATATCCGGAACAGCATCAAGTATAAGGGCAGCGGATGTTAGCTCCATCTTCTCAACCAAACTTGAGCGCAGGAACAAGACCTCTAATCTTTCCCAACCGTCTCCCTGGTAGTCGTACTCGGGCTTAGAATCTGTCAAACAATTATCAGTATGATTTGTACTGGCCACTGGCTCCCACCCTATGCTTTACGTTTGCTTTGTGGTAGTGAAATGCAAGGGTAGAGCAAAAGACCTATTTGTGGCTGTAGCTTCCTATGCGAGTATGTCAAGTTTTAATTACAATTCATCAAGTTTTAACTCATCTCATTCACACGTTCTCCCATCCCATCACACACATCTCACCACTCTCACATTCTCTAGGCGACAAGGACGACTCCCGCTCGTACCTTGCCTCATCGGCCAAGTGAAAGGTCCTAATATGGCTAGAGGGGGCTGAATAGCCTATTTAAAAATCTACAGACCAACTAGAGTAATTCGATTAGTATGACAAATAGCGAAAAGCAAACTTGCTCTAGCTTTACAAGGGTTGCAAGCCACCTATCCAATAATTTTAGTTACTATGATCACTAGACACATAATTTACTAGGTCACTACTCACTAAGAATTCTCACACTTGCTACACTAAAGAGCTCCACTAGATGAACTTAAGCTATAAAGCAAGCTCTTAATTCTAGCTACACTAAAGAGCTTACTACAACTAGTTTACAGGTATGTAAATGAGTAAGTAAGGTGATTATACCGCCGCGTAGAGGAGTGAACCAATCACAAAATGAATACTAACTCAATCACCGGGAGAATACCAAATGGCAAGGGACAACCAATTTTCTCCCGAGGTTCACGTGCTTGCCAACACGCTATGTCCCCGTTGTGTCAACCAACACTTGGTGGTTCGGTGGCTAAGAGGTGTTTCATGAACCTCGTCCACACAATTGGACACTGCAAGAACCTACCCACAAGTGAGGTAACTCAATGACACGAGCAATCCACTAGGGTTACCTTTTGGTGCTCCGCCGGGGAAGGCACAAGTCCCCTCACAATCACCGAAGATGGCCACGAACAATTACCAACTCATGCCAATCCTCCTCCGCTGCACCAAGCCGTCTAGGTGGTGGCAACCACCAAGAGCAACAAGCGAATCCGGCAGCAAAACACAAACACCAAGTGCCTCTAGATGCAATCACTCAAGTAATGCACTTGGATTCTCTCCCAATCTCATAAAGATGATGAATCGATGATGGAGATGAGTGGGAGGGCTTTGTCTAAGCTCACAGGGTTGCTATGTCAATGCAAATAGCCTAGAGAGTGAGCTTGAGCTAGCCATGGGGCTTAAATAGAGAGCCCCCACAAATAGAGCCGTTGGCTCTCTATTCATTGAAAAAACAGGGCGACCGGACACGCTGGTCGAATTGATCGGATGCAGGACCCCAGCGTTCGATTCGTAGATTTTTGCCACATGTCCCCTGCTTCAAATGCTGATCACCCGATCTCAACGGTCATCAGTACACTTAAGTTGTGACCGGACGCACTACAGTGTAGGACCAGACGCACAGTTGCCTAGCGTCCGGTCACTTTCAGTAAGGTTCCAGTCGCGACCGGACGCGTCTGGTCACACCCGACCGAACTCGCCCAGCGTCCGATCACTCTCCCT